GTTGGCCCCGGCCCCCCTGTGGGCGGCACCCCTGCTGAACGGGTTCCAAAGTATATAAAATATAAAAGTATGATAAAAAATAAATAAGATTACATGGAATAACATAAATAACTATCATAGGCCTATAAGTAAATTACGAGCAAATCAGTATTGTCTAAAATCTTTCAACTGGCAGTACACTAGAATGTTTTGGACTCGAATAGTTTTCAAAACATTTAACATATTTCAGACTAGAATGAGTATGTTACAGCTATATATCTATTTGTCTTTTCTTTAAAGATATATCACTTTCAATTCATATATTCAATAATTTATAATAAAAGAAATTACAACTATAACAAAATATTAGCTTTGGCTTTTGTCCTCACAGTGGACTTCACCAGGAGACTGATGAAGAGTCCACTGTTTAGACGAAAGCGAGTGCTAATAAATGTAATAGTTCTTTAAAGTTCTAAGTTTTGTCATTTATTATTGTTCTAAAGAAAAATAATGCGACTATACACATATTCAGTAATTTACAAATATTTGTTGAAGTTGTTTGATTCTGACTGTCTAATTACGCCATGTAGTTGTTTAACTGCAGGCTTTTCAATTCTACAAGGGAGTAAACATCTTTTTATATTACAATAAAAAACTAGAACATTAATATGAATAACGAAACAAGACCCAAAATTCCAAAACAGAACTCAAAAACTGCACAATAGGTTTTTAATTTACAGCTGTTTCTGTCCGCGAATTCTAAGTAGTGTTCGTGCTCCTCTTTCGTTTCTTGAGTCTTTCCCGACTTATAGTTTTTCCTGGTTTCTGTCGGCGTGTCTTCTGTTTTAGTGCGATACCACTTCAGTATATACACACATGCCTTGTAGACATTCCCTTCCAAATATATGTTATAAACCAAAATTTCCACGAACACTGATATGATTCCCATACCGATCACTGCTGTAACGGATTTTCCTGAAAACCAAAAAGTAATTGTATTATTTTGTTAATCATAAATTTTCAACAATTTAATGTTAGTAGGCTTTGAGATTTTTTTTAGATGAAGTGCATATTTAACTCTAATGAAATATAATTGTGAAAATGAAATAAGGAACCTCAATCGGGATTATTTTCATTCTCATATAATTCTTCGGTTTACAATGTAATTAGGTTTGCTGCGTAGTACCGTTAAAACACAATATAAACAAATAAATATGATAATAACAGTGCTCAAAATTAATAGGAACAAGATGTTACAATCGTATCACGCATAGCCCTTTAACAAAATAATTTGAATGTTATTTACTATGATTTCCAAGCTGCGAACCATAGTCTTTTCTAGCTCATCTAAGCTCCAGAATGTGTGAGCATTCAGTTGTATAATAGAAAGTTCCTGGGGGTTAAATCTGCACGAATATCCTATAGATATCCGTGATCTAGTAGATATGACACTCTGATAACGAGAGGTTTAAAGTTTAAATCCCACCGAGACAATTTTTTCTCCTACTACATTTTCATTAAGAAGGGCTGTACTTGATACGATTATTAAACTGTTATTATTTACCTAATTTATTATTATATATCAATATTTGTTATAATTTATATATATATGTATATGTATATAACAATATAATAATAATTATTATTATTATAAAAATAATAATAGGCCTAATAATTATAATTATAATAATAATAATTTAAAAAAAAACATATTTATGAAGAAGGTCGAGTAGGTAATACCGTAAATGAGCTGTTGGAATCTCAGTGCTTTGTTTAACAATTTTGGCAGGAAGCTAGACTTCTCGGCGTTATTTTATCATCTAATCTCAACTTCCGTTCCCACATTCGTGCTGTCTGCTCAAGAGCCTCTTGAGCCGGACACTCACAGCGTCGTACGACGGTCGTACGACCGTCAAACGACGAATCCACATTTGCTTCCGGCGAGCGATAGACGACGCAACGCCGCCGTCTGCTGATTGTCAGTGGCAATCTGAACGGATCCTCATTAAAAAGACGATCCGTTGGGTTGGCGTCTTCGCGTGCGTTCTTCGTCGCGTTGCCGTCGCACGCAGTGAGTAACCGGCTTTACACTCTTGTTTTACTTCTATAATTTCCGTTTGTCTTTTTCCTAACTTTTTATTTATTTATTTGTTGAGTCTTTAGTTTTGCCTATTTTTAATTAGTTTTCTTCCGTGAAACCGTCCTGCGCATGCGAATACATGAAAGTCGTTCGGTGTGTGGATTTGACAACGGGCTTCAAGCGATTTGGTGTTGTGTTGACTACGGCAACGCGAGTTTTATATATACACGCTCGCTGGGGGCGCCTGCATAATTTATCACGCGATACGAGATGGAGTGCGTCGTCCTGTAAATCGAAAAAGCTTGATGTTCAGACGGAAAGTGCATAGTACGACGTTCATGGTTGACTGAATTCCCCGTCACAGCTCCCCGCGTCGCCCATTTCGAAAGCTCGCTATTGAAAATATACAAATCTGGGCCGTCACTCGTATTGCTCACATACGCGATAGTGGCAATTATAAAGTTTCTTCAGAATGTATAACCTTTTCCACTTTCAGACTTTCAGTTAGGTGGAGTGTATCCAAGGTCTTGTTGGCATTCCGTTTCTATAAAGGCTTCCATGAGGACATTAAATGTTTTTTTTTTCGTAGTAACCACAATCAAATGAGTGAGTGAGTGAGTGAGAGCGTAGGGAGTGAATGAGTGAGTGAGCTGTGCATATGATTGGTTGCGCATTCTTTCGCTTCGCAAAAAGTTGAAACAGTCCCTATAGAAAGGGATGCGCATTCGCATGAACCGACGCTTTCGATTTGCGCGAACAAATTCGCATAGTGGCAAACAGGCTTAATTGCCATTAAACTTGTCAAAAATGATGTCCACCATCACCTTCACCAATAATATATATTTTTCTTTCCATTAAAAAAAAACATATTAAAATAATAGATTTTATTGTAATTCAAAGTCTACTTACCAACAATTGAAGATTCGTTGCCAACGGGCGGCAGGGAGAATGCAAGGATTTGTTGAAAAACAATTAATCCTAGCACAGCTGTGATTCCGTAAGATAATTTTTCTCCACTCTCAACAGGTATGAAGAACATCAAAAAGATGTTGAAAGAGCAGAGGAAGTATGGAATTAAAATAAATAGTAAGTAAAACCTGTAACGTCGCGTAAGGGAAATAGAAATGACAGCGTATACAAACGGGTGAATATTTGAATCGTATTCCATTACTTCACGCCATGTCTCTATTCTAAGAAGGCTCCAAACTCCGTGGTCTTCGAACAGTTTGTCTTGGTCACGACTAAGTATATGTGGATTAATGTCTAGATGAAAGGCGTCGTAAATCCAAGAACAAAAACGCAAGGTACACGTCTGGTTATCGAATGGGAATAACACTATGCTAATATGACAGGAGCTGCGAAATATAGAATATGTCGAGAAGTTCGCTGCACCGTCTGAACATACCTCCATTGGTGCATTCGGTAGGAATTGGTTATATTGCTCGTCAACGCTATTAGATAAAATAAAAATTCAAAAATTTATTCAACAGTATACTATTTTATTGGAATAAAACCCAAAGTTAAATGACATCACTAATACAAAAAAAATTAATACTATGGAAACCAATGTTTCATATTGCATTTGGTCACACAATTAGGGGAAACAACATGACGTCAAATATTTAGAAATAAGAAATCTGAACGACGATAAGGTCAATATTATTATTATTATTATTATTATTATTATTATTATTATTATTATTATTATTATTATTATTTACAAAAAATATTGTGAATCCTGATAAACCCTAGTAGCCAAACCAGGTTTTGTATGCACTTTGAGGTCCAGAAAATTTGGCTTTAGAAATTGGTTTAGGGTGGTCTAACAATCATTTTTGGCTTGGTAACACATTTTCAAAATGTGGGGAAATGTCAAAAGTTCAGGGTCAAAGGTCATAGCTATAGGGTCGTCATACCTTCGTAACCACTGGCGGTAGAGAGTTAATGTTGGTGCCTATTTGTTCAGAGCATTCATGTTTCTATTTGCTATCATAGAACATTTTGCTAAAAAATGATAGGAAATGCTGTTTCTAATCTTTGACACGTTTCAAGGTCATAGCAATAGGGTCATTATATCTCCGCAACCACTGGTGGTAAAGAGTTAATTGTGGTGTCAATATGTTCGGAACATTAATGTTTCTATTTGGTCTAATTGAAAAGTTTGCTAGAAAATGACCGGAAATGCTGTTTTTAAACTTTGACCTGTTTCAAATGTAATATAGTTGTGTCATTTCTGGCAATTCCGTGACCGTGGAGAGGCTAACTTAGTTTTCAGTGGATTTGTCTTCCTTGAGTGTATAATAACAAAAATAGCTTAGGTGTTTCTCGGGAAAGTGTGGGCATAACCCGTGAGAGCCCTAAATCCAAAATGGCCGCCTGCCGCCATTTCGAAGTTTATTATTTCAGTGTTTTGGCCTACATGGCTGCTTTAGTGCATGGATTTAGGGGTTTCAGGGGTCCATGATTTCATTTTTGATGTCGGATCGATGATTTGACCTAGTTTTGACCTTAAAATCCAAGATGGCCGCCAATTTCTCTTCAAAATCTTCATTTTTTGGTAAAATCATCATAGTGCTCCTATAAAAGGCTTAATGAAAGCTCAGATCACGCTGAATTGACTGACAGACAATAAAACTACAATTAATTATATAGAGGTCAACTCAGAGGTCAAAGGTCAACATTTGTGTTTGATTTAAAATGAAGTTATTTGCTTCGTTGCTTTATAAAATTCCATTTTACTGTACTGTTTATATCTAGGAATCCATATTTAATGTCTGATTGATTTGGATTTTACCTTCAAATCTAAAAATGCTGCTGAGGTCATCACATGCGTCAAATGTCAATATTAATTAATAAAAAAGAAGCTTTTTTAGTTCCATTGGTTATAAAATTCCCGTGTTCTGTACTATTAATATTCTGGAATTCACATTTGATGACCCATGTATTGACCTTCAAATCAAAATTTCTGTTGAGGTCATCTCAAGTGTCAAAGGTCAGCATTTCTGGTTAATGGAATAGAAGTTTTTAGTTAGTTACAATGGTTATAATATTTTAGTGTAGTAGTGTACTGTTAATATCCAGGAATTCTTGTTTGAGGTTAAAGTTTTGACCTTAAAATCCAAGAATGCTGCTAATTAACTTTCAGCTCACGCAGTCACAAATGTTCTAGTTCAAGTTCATCTCAGAAGTTAAAAGGTTACAATTGTAATATATTCTAATTCTATTACTAATTTCCTGAATTATCAACTAAACAAATAAGTTATTTCTTAAACAATAGGCTGCTACTCCTCATCCGAGTCTGTTTATCACTTCTACAGTAGTACTACTGTACACTCATCGCTGGTTCTCAAAATAGTCACTAGTGAGCTGGTGCAGCAAGGGTGGCAGAGTACTGGTGAACAATTCATGATTTCTTAACCATGACAAATGGAGGCCGGATGCTAGTCTAGCAACTTAAAATGGCACTAGCAATATGTGATGTAGTTTGTCCTTGTTCAAATGGTGCAATGTGTCTTCATCAGGTGGAAGGCCGGCTGTACTCTTCTCAGTTTACGCCCCTTTGAAGCTCTGGCCTACCAGAAAGTGATATCTGAACTCAGTATAGATCTTACCCACATGGCAAACAAACATGGCCCCATATAGTAAAGTTATGGGCCAAAATCTGGGCCCCCTGCAGTTTGGTCTACACTGGAAAGAACTGCCTGTGAAGGTGGCCCAAATGGAAATGTAGGACCTTTCATTTTTAAGGATATATTTGCGTCCCTTAATGTTTGCATTATAGTTTCGATTGGAACCCATATGGGTATGCCCAAATTAATTCATGGGCCCATTGTAAACTTCAAGATATACAAACCATAATTTCTTTAATTAAAGAACATCAACCGGAGAGGACAAAAGATTTCATCAGCTTTGTCTTCATCCTTTAACTTCCATTCACTCGATTTAGCAGTTTCCTCACCTCAGGAGTTGTCAATCACCTTCTTCAATTTTTTCTGTACCCAAAATACCCAAATGTGTAGTCGTTGCCAGTGCTCACAAAGAAAGGTATGATGGTATTTGTGGTATCTTCTGTGAGCACTGATCATGTCTTTGGATTTGGGAAAAATATTTGGTGTGTATATTGTTATGTGTAAATATCTTGCTGCCCATTGATCACGCACATCATCCTTGAAAGTTACCTGTCAAGATAAGTTTGATGAGCCATGTAGGAGCGTGGCATGAGTTTATGATGGTGCATATTTATTCTTTTCAAGTAGTCACTCCAGTGGTACTCTGAGCCTTCCTTCATTTTAGCCATATCAACTACTGAAAGAGTATGACATTTTCTACAGTATCCAAGCCCAAAGACATTCAAATGAAGTGTGGTTTATTCTGAAAACAAGATAAAACTGCAGAAGCTTGAGGGAATAAAATTGGTTAAAAACACAAATTGTATGGGTGCACATCGTTTACTGTGAGGGTGAGAATCTGAGCACTGGTATTGCAAGCAGAGATTATGGATTCAGAGTCAGATACAATGCTGCTCTCAGCCTATGCCAATTGATAATAGAGATACACTGAAGAAGTTGTACTAGACGGACGTGTATCCAACGCTTATGTTCCGATCCAAGTTAGGACGTATCAACTTCTAGGTGATCTACTGATGTAATGCTCTCTGAAGCGAGGGAGCATTTACTGTACGTGAGACTGAGGGTAAAATTCTGGTGTTAAAGGCCAAAGTCAAAGTCACACATTGTAAAATGAGAATTTTTGACCATTGAGAGCCAAGGTTTGTAACCTGTTACCTTCTGAGATGCACTTAGTGTAGTTTTTACTTGCATAAAATTTGAAAATTTGACACTTGTGAGATGAAAATCAGCAGTATGGATTTGAAGGTCAAATCTAAACTAATCGGACATCAATATGAATTCCTGGATATCTACTATACAGTACACTGGAACTAACCGGAATGTTATAGCCAATGTACAAGCTTCATTTTCTATTACCTACAAATGCTGACATTTTGCCACCTGCGATGACCAGAGTAGCATTTTATTTGAAGGTCAAACCTAAATCTACAGGACATGAAGTATGAATTATTGAATGTTAACAGCACAGAACACTGGAATTTTATAAAATGGAATTACAATTGACCTTTAACCATAAACATTGACCTCTGACCTTCAAAGTGACCTTAGCACCATTTATAGATTTGAAAGTAAAACCTAAATAATTTGGAAATCATATATGAATTTCTGGATATTAACAGTACAATACACTTGAATTTTATTAGCGAACTAAAACTTCATTTTTTATTAACCCCAACTGTTAACCTTTGACCTCTGAGATGACTTCTGTATAATTAATTGTAGTTTTACTGTCCATCAGTCAATTCAGCATGATCAGAGCTTTCATGCAATCCTTTTATAAGGTACTATGACGAATTTACAAAAAAAGCGGCTTTTAACAAAAAAAATTGGCGGCCATCTTGGATTTGAAGGTCAAAACCAGGTAAAATCTTCGATCCGACATCAAAAATGAAATCCTGGACCCCTGAAACCCCTAAATCCATGCACTAAAGCAGCCATGTAGGCCAAAACACTGAAATAATAAATTTCAAAATGTCGGAAGGCGGCCATTTTAGATTTAGGGCTCTCACGGGTTATGCCCACACTTTCGCGAGGGATACCCAAGCTATTTTTGTTATTATACCCTCAAGGAAGACAAATCCACTGAAAAACTAAGTTAGCCTCTCCACGGTCACGGAATTGCCAGAAATGACCCAACTAATAGTTATTGAGTCCTTATTATCTCCACAACCACTGGTGCATATCCCTACACATACTGGCTGTAGAGACTTGATAGTAATCTCAAATTATTCATTTACACAATGTTTCTGTTTATTGAATTTGACCATTTTTTAAAACAATTATGCCATTACTGATCATTGACCCACGTCACAAGGTTTAATTTCGTTTAATTTTGTCAGTAGATAATTCTATTTACAAGAAATATAATAAATCAAATATATATATATACATATATATATGTGTATATATATGTATATATATATATACGTGTGTATATATATGTATATATATCCATATATATATAATACATTTTAAGGAGTTTTACACAAAAGGCAACTCCTTGTGAACACTGGTTGCCAAGATATAAGAACCCTTTTGTCAACGCCAGCCACATGTGATAAATGCCTTGTAACGTGGGTGAATGGTCAGTATCGCCATATTCCTTTTAACAAAAGATTTCAATCAAGTAAACAGAAACATGGGTAAATGAATAATTTGAGATCACAAGGAAGTCTCTACAGTAAGTATGTATAGGGGTAGTCATATATGCATTAAAACATGTCAAAAGTCAGAACAGCATTTCCGGTGACTTCTTAGCAAACTTTTCTATTATTCCAAATAGAAACACGAATGTTCCGAACAAATTGGTACCAAAATTAACTCTCTACCACCAGTGGTTGTGGAGGCATGAGGATTCTGTGGCTATGACCTTCAAACATGTCGAAGGTCAGAAACGGCTTTTCCGGTCGTATTTTACCCTGACCTTTTGACCTTTCGCCACATTTTGAAAATGTGTTACCAAGCCAAAAATGATTCTCGGACCACCCTAAACCAATTTCTGAAGTCAAATTCTCTGGACCTCAAAGTGCATACAAAACCTGGTCTGGCTACTAGGGTAATAATGAAAACCATTTTTACCATCATGAAATATATATTATGTTTATGATCGATAACCAAATACAAGAAATGACAAGTACTCACTTATTATCCAGAATTAGATCGGGTATCCAAATTTTGTCCACCGGAATATACACACAATTAACACCATATTCAGAGGCGTTCCAGCTAATACGTTCGTCGTGCCATTTCTTAAATACAGGTTATTGAAAAATAATACATTAACGCGTCAGCATGACTTAAAATAACAAAGAAAATCAATAAATAATGAAGAAATAATAAAGAAAATAAAACATACATAAAATTAATTTATATTATAATAATATATAGAAATGTAGCAGAGAGATTAAAGTAAATAGAACTGTCCACAAATTTAATTTACTGATATATTAGTCTCATTAATTATTTTAATACTGGCACATGTTCAGTTAAGTTTTCTTTATTGATATTACATTTAAAATGCATAGTTCAATATCAAAAAACCAGTAGGTCCACTGATAAGTTTAAGATAACTTAGTATAAAACATACTCCAAATAAAGTAAGACTAGTCATTTTGATTCAATATTTCGATCTTTTATCATCAGGAATGAATGAAGATTCCAACATTACAAACATATATTCCAGAGGTGTTAAAAAAAAAATTAACCAATGAGAAAAAGTCAGTAATGTAGCCAATAAGATTCAGAATTAAGTGTTGGTGATTAAGTATAAAGTATCAATAAAGTATCAATAAGCAAGCTTAATGATGTGATGAAATAAACAACTGGAAGTGAGAACTAGGTAAACAATGATAGTTCTTTGGATGCTTTCAGTCCATTGTTAAGTAATGGGTTGAAACGTCTAATAGCGAAAGCCTCTTTAAACAATAAACAATAAATGTGACCAGTTACTAGAACTGTCAATAATCGTAGTGCTATGAAAAATCAACCCTAACGAATTACATGGTTTATAATCATCATTAATATCTGGTAAATTGTGTAAGTCAAGTATGTAATTAAATGCATCACAAGATTTAACATGGTCAAACATCACGCTATTAGGTCCAGATGAATGTTCAATATGAAATATAAAAGCACATACACCTAAGCGAATAGAATTCAGATATAAACTAACGGGTACACTGATTCTTCAATAACATTATTGTACTTAATACAGTGCGAGTCTAGGCCCGTTGTTACCGGGCCTTTTGCCACCTAGGCCTGTTGCTACCCAGCCTTTTGCCACCTGGCCAAGTGATGGCGCCAGCGTCGGGGAGAAAAACCACAATTCGTCTTGGAGAAAATCTGATGTACATGTATTTTCTACATATTATTAGACTCAAAAATCGATTAAATAAGCCTTTGAAAGCCCTAAATTGTCATATTGTCTGCCAACCTATCCGTTGCCATCCATAATAGTACAGTATAGCCTTTTATTATCAGAAATTTCACTTTCGGCATTTTTGCCACAACATGTACACTGAAGGATGAATGGATTCATTGCTTTGATAAATTAAATACATAATTTAAACAAAGACAATCCGTTGCTGTTATAAAATATGCGTGAAATAATCCAAATTAGCATATGATACCTTTATAGTGTGTTTTTATTTATTTATTTATTTTTATTTATTATGGTATAAAACATATTACAAAACAATAGCTAGAAGCTAACTATGCTTGTATTACAAAATAGAAAATATATCCTAAATGCACAATCTGAATTGGCAGATGGCCAACACGCTTACCACCACCACCACCACCAACATTACCGCCACTAATTTCATCTGCTGTTTTGTAAATACCCCAAGATTCTTGTTATGAGCTATGCTCTCTCGACGATTACCTTTTCTTCACCAAAACCATTCGTTTATCTTCGATTAAAAAAAAAAGTGTCCCTTGAATTTTCCAAATTCCCATAAGCACCCCTTCAATTTTTATCTATTTCTGTAAGCGCCCCATCAATTTCCACTCTGTTTTCATATACGCGACCCGTTTGAATAAGGCCCCCTCAAAAAGAGGCAAAAATATTTTAAGCGCCCGGGTGATTATTCGCGCGAGTACTGTACACAGTATAATCTAAAAACGTAATCTGGATTAATTTTATAAAATGAATATGTATGCGCATGTATTTATTTTGTCCGAGTATGTAGGTCTACTGTATTTAGTTAAGTGAGTGGGTACATGACTGTATAATTTATTATATCTCTTGATGTGTTTATTTTCTGACATAAGTGAATATATATATATCTTTATTTTTCATCATTAAAATACATGGAGGGTTATAACTTGAAATGGGTCGGTAAATGTCCAACTGACCACAATGAAGACTACCTAAATTTGGCGTGAAGACCAAAGGATTCTATGCTGGTTGCCCATGGACATTTCCCCCCGGACACTTC